CGTCTCCAACGCGAGTGTTATATGTGTGGCTCAGTCCAAAGACAGCCATGACGATCTGAGCCATGTATTTGGCAAATTCTGCGCGTGACATGCCCTGGAACCGATGGGCGGGAGTTCGCGTTGCAGCTGCAAACTCCAGAGTTTGGCCGACGGTCAGATGAGGGAAGTGTCTATCAACCTGTGCAATTCAAAAATTAGCAGAGTGTCATTGATGTCGATGTTGGGACCCGTACCTCTTGGTTGTATACTAGTTCGCCCTTGAACTCTTTCATCATGCGAGATTGGGGAACTCCTAGTGATTGTTAGCTCTATTGTAGAATGCTAGAGCTTGAATCTTACCATTGTAATGAATGGTACTCTCCTTGGCCATATCCAAACCGTGCAGCTCTCCAGTCATGGACTTCAGAAGTGTACTACAACCGGCACCTGGTCGACCAAGCACAAGCAACAGCTCACCACTTTTCAAGAGGCCGTTGAAATCCTTGAGGATTCGCCTTGGAGGAGAACGTGATTCACGAATGATTTGGGGCACCCGAACGAGGGCAGTTAGGCTCGATGTGACTGTATTTTGGAACTGCAGCGCAGCGCCCGATCCGTATACATTAAGTTGCTTGAAAATGATGTCCGATGAGTGTCCCGCGTGGCCATCCCGGCTGATATCGGTGAAAGCTAGTTTAAGCCATTTTTGCAAGTCGAACTTTCCAGACTGGGGATCGAGAGATGGATCTTGTTCAGCGAGGGCTGTTAGATTTGTTCCGGAAATCGATTGTTGGCGTGACCGTTGAGTAGCTATTTTGGTAAGGGTCTCAACATCGTCTTGGTCGATGAGTGACATAGGCGAGTCATCAAGCGTTGATGCATCTCCGGTATGAGGTGGAGTTGGTTCAAGCATCTCTTTTAGCTCGATCGAGCTATCTGATGCCGAAGCCATGCTGAAATATCAATGGTGAACACAGGGATATGATTAACCAAAACAAATTATGAAAAGGGAGGAATCTGATATTTAAAGAGTCGGGCCAGTGGCCATTTCCGGCCGTTGTGGATGACATCTTCCATTATAATGGAACTGTGGGTCAAGTCGGAGGTCGGAGTAATCGAAAAAAAAAATAACAATACTAGTTAATAAAGACCTTGCGAGAATCCTCGTGCTATGATTCGGTAGATCTGTAGATCAAGGACTTGTTTGAACCAAGGGAGCCTGATCATTCTGCATAAAACCCACAAAACCAATCAATTTCCAAAGTTCCTAGGCTTATGCTCAGTCAGCGGAATTTCTAGTATCCCGAAAACGGGAATTGAAGGTCCCGAGCCATGTGCTGAACCGGTCCCGTATCTTCTCTCTACCCGACCGGCATAGTGGACCTTTTTTTTACATAGAATCGGCTTATAGTCTCGCCGAGCCTGCATTCTTTGAATTATGAAAAATGGACCTGTGGGGGAGTCGCCACACTTTCTTTTGTCCTATCGGGATCTCATAATTCCCATCCCCGGGGTCATTATGAAGCACGGAACGGCTAGAACGCATCCCGACGTGCCGGATCTCCATCTGGTGGCTTTGTTGTTCGTTTATCTTTAGTGCTGTGGGGCGCAGATTTACTTTTTTAGCCCTTATTCCTATTTCTTAGGTTTCTCCTAAATGGCTTTATAGATTGATCTCGCCGTCTACGGTCCATGGATAATAAACGGTCTAGGCCACTAGCTAAATATCTGACTATTTAGCCGCTAATTTTATAATGCCCATTACAGTCAAACCTTAAGATTGAAGGATCGTCGAGCAAATACATACCTTACAAGACCCAAAGTCAACTGGTTCCAAGATCTTTTAATAAGGTACCCTAAAAATCTTCCAGAGATTACGATGTCACATGCTATCACATGCCATCACATGCTGAGTGGGGCTTGCTATGTTTACTTATTTATCCCCCCACGTCTTCCCAATTCCGGTATCTTGTATCTTGAATAGCACCCGTGGACTTTTTGTTTAAAGACCTGGTTCATAACAGGAGAGATCATAGGTTATGCAAAAAGCAAAGCACAAAATGAGATGAAAATGCTAGTAAATAGTGTTCATGCTTTATGCAAAAGTCATTCCTTCTATATCACTCTGAGTATTAAACTCGGGCGAGACAGCAAGCTGAAAGTTGCAAAACACCACAACAACCTGCGGACAACCAGTTGCTGAAGAGCTCATTAGGGTTGAGGGAGGTAGTTGGATTTGCCAGCCAAGGCAACTTCGCAATATCCAAACAAAGCGTCGATATCGTAATTCGAGAGGCCTTCTGTTAGCAAGGATGCAAGAAGAAAAGCTTGGATTCAGGGGAGCTGCTAGTGAAGGAAGACTTGATGAGAATGAGGATGGTGGTAAGGATGGTGGTGAATGATATGGATGGGGATTGGATGCAATGTATCGAAGATGGAATAAAAGGTTGCTGCTTTGTTTGAGACAGCTGGTGAAAGCCGTTGTTGACTGGGTCGCTTTATGATGCCACGCCCAGTTGTTGATTTGCCCGCGGCAAATTGCAGTGAGTAGCATTTAAACTACCGGCCCGAGTACTTTCACTATAGGCTCTCATGGTGGACGGCTGTCATGACAATAGCGGAAGGTTATCAAGGCCGTGATAGGTGGTTCACATGGTGGAAGGTTGTCATAGTGGATGGTCAAAGTCATTATCAAGTAGCAGTAGATGTCCAGAAACCCCGAGAAATGTGAAGGAGGAAAGAAGATGAAAGGAAATAAGTTCAGAGGTATCTATGCCCCGCCAGCGGCTTAATGAATTGGAGATACTTAGGTAGGTGACGCACTTCCTAAATGGGAAGGTAGGGCAAGCCTGCAAATATATAAGTACATCGGGGTATGATATCGCATTCCTTATTGGGATGTTCTACCAAACCTTCTATATCTTCACGGGCATTCGGCTCATTTGTCTTTATCCTTCTGTCAAACCTTCTGATAGGTGACAGCCGAAGTTGCACTCATGATAGCTACTGTGGTGATTTTTGGGCAGGTCTAAAGATATTATGCTGCTAATGAATGAAGATGAGGATTCTATATGTCACATCAACTTCCTTGTCCGCACTTCAAGACCGGCGTGACTATTACGAGGCAGGCTGTTTAGATATTTCAATGGAGACAACTTATTCTCCGTTCGGTACAAGTGTTTTTTGCAAAGAAACTTTTTCCTATTCTCAAAATCAGTCCCCATTCTTTACAAAGTACACATTTACCATGTGGAGTATTTTTTACCATTGAGAGATAGAAATTTAGCCCTAGTGCTACGCGATAATATTTCCAGTGCGAAGTTGAGGCATCGAGTCATAGAAAGAGCACAACAGTCTGTTTTGCGATGCTTTCAGACAGGGATGCTGTAAATAATTCAAGATTTGACAAACACATCTAAATTAAGTGACATGGGTATTTAAATTGCAAGGTTGAAACAGGATTCTCGACGTATACGACATCAGCGGGGCGGATCGCCCAGGCTCCGATCCGATGAAAGGAAGCGCCCCTTCTAGGGCTCTCTTCCTCTTCCCAAGAATTATCCCAACATGGCCATCCAGTCATTGCGCGAAATAAACGCACATAATCTACGCACCTTCAAGCGCCACTATGTCTCCGAGATCTCAGGCTCGTTTGGCGATCTAGGCACGTTCCTGCCTATCGCGATTGCGCTAGCTGTCAACGGCACCGTCTCCCTTGCCAGCACGTTGATCTTCTCGGGGATTTTCAATATTCTAACGGGTGTGTTCTTCGGTATTCCGCTGCCAGTTCAGCCGATGAAGGCCATCGCCGCAGTGGCCATCGCGCGTAGTTTCTCAAATGGCACGATCGCTGCGGCGGGGATCTTCGTCGGCGCCTGTATCCTTGTCTTCAGCTTGACTGGAATCTTGCACTGGTTCACCAGTGTAATTCCAATTCCAGTTATCAAGGGTATCCAAGTTGGGGCGGGATTATCCTTGATCATCGCAGCCTGTAGCACCATGCTCCATCCCTTGGGCTGGATCAGCCCGTCCTGGGCCGATAACCGCATCTGGGCAGTTGCCGCATTTTCTGTGCTTCTGCTCACCAATATTTATCGCCGAGTACCCTATGCTATCGGTGTATTAGCGCTGGGTCTGCTCTTTGCTATCATTCTGACTGCACTGGCGGGGCATATGCCCAGTTTCGAGGTGTGGCATCCTTTCGCTCTGGTTCCGACCCCGCTTCAATGGCGCGTCGGTGCTGTGGATGCTGGTATTGGTCAAATTCCTCTTACCACCCTCAACTCCATCGTGGCGGTTGTCCACTTGGCGCATGATCTGCTCCCGAAGGTACACACTCCATCTATTACCCACATCGGGCTGAGTGTGGCCGGCATGAACTTAATTGGTTGCTGGTTCGGTGCTATGCCTGTCTGCCATGGATCTGGTGGTCTTGCAGCGCAATATCGGTTCGGAGCTCGCTCAGGAGCAAGTGTGATCTTCCTCGGCCTGTTGAAACTGCTTATCGGCCTTCTCTTCGGAGAGACCTTGGTTGACCTTCTGAAGCGGTTCCCTATCGCCTTGCTCGGTGTGATGGTTATTGCAGCTGGCGCGGAGCTGCTTAGCGTGGGCGAGAGCCTCAACACCACTGGTGCCCAGGACCTCAGCGAGGCCGGTACTGGCCTTTTGTCAAACACGGGGCAGCATATTGGCCCTGTTCTCACGGATGAAGAACGCAGTCGCCGCTGGACTGTCATGATGGTCACTGTGGGATTGCTGGTAGGGTTCAAGAATGACGCGGTCGGATTTATTGCTGGTATGCTGTGCCACTGGTCCTACGAGATCCCGGAGTGGTGGGAGAAGGCGCGTAACCGCTGGTCAGAGGGACGTTTACGTCTACGTGACTAGACCTACGTATATTGGGGCGGAAAGTTTGGATTTAATCTCTCGATATCCTTCACGACATATGCATGAAGAACTCATCATTTTTGATTTTATATATAGCAAGAAGCAAAGTGCAACTACTTGCCAATCCACTCACCCTAAAATACATTCTTAACATCCACGTCACTCTCTCTCCGCAGCCTGTTGCCTGTACTAGGATTTTCATACGCGCGGTTCTCCCTCGCCGAAGACGAGAGGCCATCCGCAGCAAAATCCACATCCCGTCCGAGCCTACGACCACCGGCATCCTTCATATCCTTGTGACGCCTAGTAACTCCACCGATATCATACTCAGGTTGGTCGTTATAAGTGCCGGTCACGGGGTCATAAACCCTAGACCCCAGCGGTGAAGAAGCCAAATTAAACGAATCGTCCTCCCCGTCCCCATCCAAGAGCTGAGCCGCCGCACCCCCAATATCAGCAAGGACATTGGGCGTGGAACTTTGGGGTGGGGAATTTTGGGAACATGAAACATCATCCTCTAGGTCGGTGATGCGTCGTACTCCACCTGCAGATGTACCACCTACCGGTCCAGGTAAAGCCAGCTGTTCCTGCCCTGTGTTGTCGTAGTGCCGTTCTTCAACGATTGCTGGTTGGCCTAAGTCTTGCTGGGCGGTACGTACGATTGTTGTACCGTCGGGTTTGGTGTATGAAGTTGTTGAATACCGGTGTCCGGTTGTAGTCTTGCCGTCGTTGCCGTTTATTGTGGAACTGTAATAGTACGAGGAGCTTGTGAAAGAGTCGGACATCGTGGTGAATGGTCGCGCTCGGTGGGATGTGGGAGAGGAAAATGTTGATCTGGTCCACTTGGGGTGATTTGTAGTTGAGTTTATTTAGTAGGGTGAATGGAAGATTGATACTAAACCTTGCGAGGCTTCTTTAATGTTTGTCTCTGCTTGTGGAAGCGTCTTTGTGTGAACTGTTTGGCATCGGTGTACAAGTTGTCTTGTTGTTTTTGAAGTTCAACCTGCTCAATTTCGATATGTTTATATACTTCGTCCCTCTTGTCTTGTGGCAAGCTTTACTTGCCGCTTGCATCATTGCCTCCTGTGGCAACTAAGCTCTATGGAAGAGGCAAAGACCCATCGGTGTGGCCAAGGGGTTTGGAGATACCCCACGAGAACTGATCCGGGGAAACAGAGCATGTATTGAACGTGTAGGTGTTGTCCATAGATGCTGCGTGCACGGACGATGGCTAGATAAGGCACTGGACGTATCGAAACCGCTTATCATCTGTACCTGTCCCCGCTTTTTAACAAACCAACTCATCTCCAACCCTGGAGAATAAAGCACCTAATGGCTGGACTCACCGAAGCTCAAGTCGCCTCCTTCAAGGAGAACGGGTACCTCGTCCTCCCCGACTATCTCACCCCAACCGAGGTCACCGCTCTCCTCGCCGAAACAAACAAACTCCTCGAGGAGTTCCCACTAGAATCCCACCCCCTCACCCAGTTCACAACGGGCGACGAAACCGCCGACCATGTAGGTGACGACTACTTTCTGAACTCAGGCGACAAGATTCGCTTCTTTTTCGAGCCAGATGCGTTCAGCACCGAGCCTGATCCCCTGACCGGCCGAGCCGCTCTACTGAAGCCCAAGAATCGCGCCGTCAACAAGATTGGTCATTCGCTGCATACCTTGTCGCCACCTTTCAAGGCCATATCACTGAACGAGCGGAACGCTACCGTCGCACAGTCCCTGGGCTTTTCTAATCCCCGCGTGCTGCAGAGTATGGTTATCTGCAAGCAGCCTTCGATTGGTGGAGCTGTGCCATCCCATCGCGATTCGGAGTTTTTGTATACGAACCCACCTTCTGCTGTAGGCTGGTGGTATGCGCTGCAGGATGCGGGTCCGGCGAATGGGACGCTGGGTATGTACAAGGGGTCGCATACGGGGAGTAAAGGCGGCCATATCGCTAGGAGGTTTGTGAGGAAGGAGAATGGGACTGGGACGGAGTTCATTGAGAATCGGGGACCTTCCCTCCCCAAAGGAATGGAGGAGGAGAAGAGTTTGGAGACTACAGATGAAGATCTGGAGATCCTTGATATCAAGGCTGGATCGCTTGTGCTCATTCATGGGAATGTTTTGCACAAGAGCGAGAAGAATACCAGCCCGAATAGTCGGTATGCCTATACCTTCCATGTTATTGAGGGCGCAGAGGGATGGGAGTATGATGCGCGGAATTGGCTGCAGCCGCCTGCTGGTGGATTCTCAGAGTTGAATATTTAACACATGGTTAGAATACGAATAAATGATGTTACGGCCAGTGATGGTAAATAGTTCGACTTTTATTCTTTATGCAAATCCTGTACAAAAGATGGCCCGCCATATACACCGAGTGTGCGAATCCCAGACACCCCGAACTCCAAGTTGCGATTCCAGGCCGTCAGATCAGGTTGCCTTCAACATATCAAGCATTCCCTTTGTTTGCCACGCTTGTTGGGCCATCTCGACTTCGTCGCGCACCCGGCGGTGCAGACGTTCCACCATCTTGTCTACCTGTGCGGACTGGCCCAGGTTTCCAGAGTAGATATCGAGAAGGTTCATGGCGACCTCGACGCTGAGATCGACCAGGCGGGGTTCACGGATATTCTTGTGAATCCACTGCAGAACGGGCTGCAGGGTGACCTCATCGCGGTCCTTGAGCGAGGCGCGGAGGGCGGAGCGGTGACGCAGGGCCGTAAGCAGTGTAAGTTGTGCAGTCTTGTCGGCCGACGTGAGGACCTGGTCCAACGCAGCAGCGTAGCGTGCCTTACGGAGATCGTTCTCCCAAGGTTGCTCTCTCTTCCGCTTCTTCTGATCCTGGCCCTGAATGACAATCTCCACACCCTCTCCGATGAAATCGCGTCCCCGCAGACGCTTTTCCCAACCAGAACCACGGGTCTTCTTCTTCTTAGCGACTTCCCGGTCGTGCTCCTCCAATTTGCCCTCCAGCAGGGCTGCCATTTCCTTCCGGCGTTCCCGCTCCTTGATCTTCTGTTGGCCAGAGAGTCGGGTCTTGATAGACAGAAGACCTGACTGCATACCGACAGCAATGTGCTTATCCTCGTATTCGGTTCCGGAAGTAATCGCGCGTAGAGAGAGAATAGGTGACGGGTACTTGGATCCGGAGACGGGATTCCACCCTGTAGTCTCAAAGACCTTCATGTGTCCATCGAGTGCACCACTGAGCAATCGCTCACCATTAGAAGCCAGGGCAAGGGCAGTGACAGTCTTTTGATGGCTCTGTATCATGTGTAGCGGCTTACCAGCCACAATATCTAGCACCGCAATCTTGTTGTCGGCCGCGGCGAGAACTGTAGTTCCGGTGGGCATGGGCAGAATGGTCTCGATGGGCGCACCCATCTTGAACGTCATAGCGGCACGGTTTGCAACTCGAGGATCCCACAGTCGAACAGTACGATCGTAAGAGCCCGAAACCACCAGACCAGAAGAAGCCATGGAGCCAGGCATGAATGCACCGCTGCGCACGTAATCGGTGTGACCGACAAAGGTACGCGCACTAGTTTGCGAGGGCAAGTCCCACAGCCGCACCGTACGGTCATCACTGCCTGTAAGGACTACGGTAGGGTCGCTGGGAGAGAACTTGGTCACCCACACGGGTTGCTTGTGGTCCTTCCACGTCTTGAGGATGGCGCGCGACTTGACATCGAAAACTTGCACAGAACCGGTGTCGTCACCTGCCACCAAGACACGTCCGTCCGCACGAACATCAGTACCGCGTACGGTATCATCAAACCGTGTGAGTGTTCTCAGAAGTTTCCGTGTGCGAATCGAATAGATCTGGACTCGTGCGCCTGTTGTCACGGTGAAGACATCGGGCGGTTGTGTGAGAGATGGGAATGCCGCGGCAGAGGAAGGAACGGAAGGCTGAGTGATGAGGTTGACCGGTCCATTGGCCGGCGACGGGATCAGGAGCGGGTTTTTGAATGTCCGCCAGTATTGTTGCTCAGGCGTTAACTGCGTCGAGGGTAACGAGGCGAGCTTGACCTGCTGCAGAGGCAGGACGGGCGCCGCCATGGTTGCAGTGGTGAATAGACAGTAGTTGTTTAGGGGATATTAGTTGGATAGGTAACCCGGAATGAGCAATGGGTGGTAGAGTTAAGCCGACTAGAGTGCTATCGTGAAGTTCATGAAGACCATCTTTTTTCTGCCGATCAAAAAAGTTCGTTTCGCCCAATCGGGAATGGTGGCGGTAGCTGTTTCTGCCTGGGGCATCGAGTGCTGAATTTGGGCCTGAGGCACCAAAGCAAAACCCAAGGTCTTGGCACATCCACCCGTGATAGTCATGGCTTCATTCTTGACTTGTGTATCAAAAGTACTCCGTACCCCGTACAGGGCTATGCGACAGGCTGACAACATAGAGTGCCTAGACTGAATCCACATTCGATGGGTCCATAAGTAACAACGAAATATACAAGATAACTACCTCTAGGCTGGTACTTTCAGATACTCGGATTCGAGCCATTTGGAAGTTCTCTATCTCGGAATTCCACTACAAGCACCATACCCTGGGCCATTCAGCTTTTCTCGGCAGACAATTTGCATGATATTCCTAACTGATAGGCGACTTATCTCATTCACAGGCAATCTATCCTGTATGGAGTATCGATGCTTGCTTTTATATGTCAACTCCATCAATGTCGATCAACCTCAAGAGATCTTTCTCAAGTAAGCCTAATGTTTTTCATCAATTGACCCCCAAGACAAAACTGGAATTCGACGGATCTACGTTGTACTTTGTACATCGTAGGCTTCCACATTTTGACCATTTCGCAGTGTTAATTATAGTAACCTGCGGGGATTGCCCAGTGAACCCACCGAGGCAGTGAGGCAGGCAACATCGTTAATCGCGAAATTATCTGGAATCAGTAGGGGATGATGTGTGTAGAGCAGAATAAGACAGTCTCAGTAATATTGCCAATGTACGAGATGCAGTACCAAAAAAAGGTACTCAGAATACACAGGATCACTAGGCCTGTGAGTGGTCGCTATGGCAATTCGGCGGGGGGAAACGGAGATCCATCGTGGTGCAGCTCCCTAAAGGTGGGGGAGCCGCGAGCCGCGATGGCTTGACAGCTTATTGAAGCCCCAATGCAGCTGAAACTGGATTCACAAACACGAGTACGAAAGATAGGGGGATGACGACCTTGTCTAGACTGCCAGTGGTCGGCAGTTTATGCTTGTCCCACCAGGAATGCGCAAATCTCTGAATACGCGGTGGCTGGGGATCCGATTGAGCTGAGGGCGATCCACTACATGTGGAATACCTGACTGGAGTTAGATAACAAAGACTTGCAGGGGACTTGACGAGGACTTAGAGAAGACTTGAATAGCATGTAGTATATTGTAATATATAGTATATTAATACAATGAATATATAGGAGATCAGACTCTGGCAGTTTCCAAATTTCAGTTTACTCCGATGATGCAAGGTTCATGTATCCATGGTATGGTAAATCGACCCGTCCAGACACCGCCAGGGGTAAGAACCAATCAACATTCCAGATCTGATACAAAGCCCAGCCACCTCCAATACACCTATTCTAAGACTTCGTCTCTTATCTTTTTGCTTTTCTTCTTCCTCTCTCCCACTTGGCTCAATGGTAGTTTCTGTTTATATCCATACCTGGTGATCAATATGTCGAAGATCTCCAAGGTTAACCATGCGGCGGGCATCTTCGCTGACATCTCCGTCGATGGCCCCATTATCGGTACCTTGGTCGCTATCATCGACCGAGCCAAGAACCTACCCAACCGGAAGACTATGGGCAAGCAGAATCCCTATGCTGCAGCACGATTGGGCAAGGAAGCAAAGAAGACACAAACAGACTTGCGAGGAGGACAAACTCCCCGATGGTAAGCTGTCCCCCTAATAAATGTGTAAATGGAAGCTTACTTGCCTAGGGACTCGGAACTCCGATTTACCGTACATGAATCCCCCGATTACTTCAAGTTAAAGGTCTCCGTATTCAATGATGATAAGAAGACCGACATGATCGGCGAGACCTGGGTCGATTTACAAAGCTTGATCATTCCGGGTGGAAGTCAGAATGATCACTGGCACCCACTTCAATGGCGTGGGAAATATGCAGGAGAGATCCGAATCGAAATGACCTACTATGACACCAGAGAACAAGACGAGGTCCTGATTGGACGCCGACAAGAAGCCGCTGACCGAGTGCAAGGCAAAGTCCCCAGTACTCCAAGCAGTACGGGCCTGTCTGGTCCCCGGCAATTGAAAGATGTCAAGCGAAGACCCTTGCCCAGTGGCCCTGGAGGGGCCGTGGCAAGACCAGCTCCTCCAGAGCAATCTCACTCTGCGCCTCCAGTTCACCACCCGGTCCCATCGAGACCCGCCATTCCTGAACATTCAAACACCATATCTGGTGCCCCAGACACCGTCTCTCATGCCCCGAGACATTCAGAGCCTGCTTACGATGCATCGGCTTATCGCGCACCTTCTCCTGTTCCGCCTCCCTCTCGGGGCGGGTATGATGGTACTGATAACTACACTCAAGAATGGGATGTCCCAACTGTTGCTCCTCTCCGCAGACAAATCACCCATGAACTGCCCTCCAATGAAGTTGTTGAAACACCATACGACTCGCGTCTACTGCAACACCAGCAACAACAATACCAAGAGCAGCAGCAGCAACAACAGTTACAACAACAACAGCTACAACAACAACAGCTACAACAACAACAGCTACAACAACAACAGCTACAACAACAACAGCTACAACAACAAGAGCTACGACAACAACAGCTACGGCAACAAGAGCTACGACAACAAGAGCTACGGCAACAAGAGCTACGACAACAAGAGCTACGACAAGAAGAGCTGCGACAGGAAGAGCTGCGACAGGAAGAGCTGCGACAGGAAGAGCTACGACAAGAAGAGCTGCGACAGGAAGAGCTACGACAAGAAGAGCTCCGGCAAGAAGAACTACAGCAACAAGAGCTCCGGCAACAAGAGCTACAACAACTGCAGCAGCAGCAACAACTACAGCTGCAACAACAGCAGAAGCAACTGCGGAATCATCCCGAATATGACCAGCCAGCGTCGAGAAACTATCTCCTCGCCAGGCAAGATCAGTACGAGGCAGATCCCCACGAGGAAGCGCCATACCATTCCATACATCAAGATCTCTACGCTCGAATAGAGCAGCCGCGATACGATCTAGACCCTATGTCATATGGACCAACGCATGCACATGAGTTGCCAGCCTCGAACTCTATACCTTCCTCTCTAGGACCAGTGGATGACCCAAGGTACCATCCTCATAGAGTTCGACCTCTACAAATCACTGCTCGAGGTCATGATTACCACCCAGAGTATGCCGGAATGCAACCACGAGTAGAGGATGAAGATGATGGCGGGCCCCCACCTCCTCCACCAGTACACCGGTCACGAAGGGCGCATTCTCAGCTGTCCACCCCGAAAACATCGTCTCACCCCTATGCACCCTACACACCCCAATCTTCTCGATCCTCGGTCCCCCATCTGCCATCAACCATGTCCACCCCGTCCCACCGTGATCGCTATCAGGAGCCTTCTTCGGTGGGGAATCCCCAAGCCATGCCCGCAAGCCTCGTCGCAGGCTATGAACCGGAAGACTCGGCTGAGAGAGCAGCACTCGAACGATCAGCCCGCAGACCCAGCAACCAATGGGACGATGAGATTATGCTTTCCCAACCGCCTGCACCAGTCCCTGTATCAGCACCCGTCCAGTACGATACTCCTGTCTACCCTCTGCGAACATCCCCCCGACCGATTGAACAAAGACCCACTTCTAGCAGAGGTGGATCTGTGAGCCCTGATATGCGAGCTGTGACCCGGAAATCAGTCAGTCCGCGGCCCTCTTCTTCGGACGTCCGTGAGGGTTCTTCAATCCCTTTCTCTCCCGACTCCTACATTTCTCTAAATCCGAATGCGTCGCACCCCCCTAGCCGAGATCCTTCCCCGGCATACGACTCGCCTTCGCAAGCTAGAGATGCCGTGATACGTGGAAAGACCGAACCCCATCGAGACATGGATCACCCAATTATCGGGGATGACGGTCGTGAGATTGACCCCTCTGACCATCTTCCCACCGATACATGGGCGCCCGAACCAGAACGGAAGAACCGTAAGCCCGAGGTTATCATCCGCTTTAAACACTCGCCTCGCCCAACTTCTAGAGGCAACGACTCTCCTTCATCACGTAGCACAGGCCCTCCACGCGTCGGATTCAGAGCAGAGACCACTACCTATCCGTCGGATCGCCCAATCAAGTACACACCCACCCATGTGAACGTCAGTCCGGGGTCAATGGTTCGAACTCCACCTCGACCGGACTACGCACGTGAGCGCCCTAACAGCTATGTGCAACCTCGGGGTTACAGTACACCCACTTCGGTTGAACGGCCGCGCTCTTCTCGAGGCTCAGTCTCGCCATCTCCGGGGTCTCGTACGCCGCTGTATGACTATAGCCCAGGTCCCCCGATTCCAACCAAGGTGCCAATCACCGGAGGAAGCCCAGGCTACCCCGTCATGTCTGGCAATCCAAATGGAAACGTCCGCATGGATGCCTTGAGTCGAGAATTGAGTACGATCGACATTGGCTCTACGGCGTGCAGCCCTGGCCGGGGGGCCGTTCGAAAATACGTACCAAGACAACCGGCGTCGATTGGCTACGCTAGATAAACCGAATCCTTTTTTGAATGTATGGATGACTGATGCTGTTTTATTTTTGGTACTGGGGATATGCCCCCGGTTTTCTTCATTTTTTTTTGGTTTTCAGATTGCATTGCTCTTGATATCCGGCAAACATGGGATTATGGATTTGATTTACGGGGGATATAGTTTTTGATGTACGCATAACACGAATAACCAATGATACCTTAAAGTGACACTTTACTTCCTACTAGATGCTTCTGTAAACCTGAGACTATGTTTGACAAGTTCATTGATGTAGTCGTCCGGTGGTCTGAGAGTAGTCCTCAGCATTGCTTATATAGTGTTCCTGATAGCCCGCTTTCTCCAGTGAATTTCATTGCTACTCTGGCTGCCACAGCTGTCCTTCACACCATGTTGTCGGATATGAAGATATTACGCTCAGGTCGTGAGCCAGCCTCATTACTTTTACAGTCTTCTAGGATCCGGCGATGCTTCTTGAGTTTAAAACCAATGTCCTACATCATGTGTGAGTCCCTAGATATCAGCACCACCATCATATTCAAGGAATCGGTCCTCGAGACCCGACTATTCCAGGTCATCTGGCTACCAACTAAGAGCACACACAATGCGCAAACCCACGCTGTGTAGACATTGGGGTGATGATATCCAGCCAAGGGAAAAAGTCATCTCAACTCGATCCAGCACAAACATTGTAGGCAATTTCCTGCAAACTTATAAAAGCCCATCCTATTCCAGTACTGCTCCTTCTCCCTTATCCTATTCTCCCACTGTCCTTGTTTCCATTTTCGCCCAGCACCTGAAGCTTTTCAAACTATCAGACAGCTCGTGCACCATCGACAACGGACTTTGCCGTCAGAATTCATCACGTCCGTTATCAAAAACGCACACTCCTATCTTTCATTATCCTTGTCTATCGCCCTTGTCTTATCTCACTTCATATCGTCCATCCAGCATGCAATATCAGGGCCCTGATGCCCAAGGCGATCGGGGCCTCGACGAGGACGCCAAAATGTATGTATATATATGACTTGGTATTACAAGTTGAAATTCTTGCTCTTCCCAGTGACTGTGTGATATGAACGTCTGCGTTTATCTTGGGACAAGACTTGCTAACATGCAGAGCTTAGGCCTAGTAACACTGCTCATCAAAACCAATATGCTTCGACGTAAGTATACGATATATCCCCTGGCATCGCTATTTTTCTAGTATCCAAGTCTCATATATCTGGCATCCCACCTTTCGTTTTGGCTTTCCCCTATTCCTTTGCCTTTCCGTTACTTGTTCACTATCTATGAACTGTGCTTCGTGATACCAGCCCGTCTTATATGTCAAGAGCATCATGTTCTATGAAGATCTCAGCTAATCGAAATATCAGCCTCGGAAGCTCTGCTCAAACAATCCGCCAGGGAAACCAACCCCTGTCCCTACTGCTCTCTCCTCCACTTACTTCACCACTGATACCTTTGGGAGGAACAATCGATTCCACCCCTCCACTCACTCCACTCCGCCAATACAGCTCATCCCAACCACTGGGTCCGCGTTTCACTAGCACAAATGTATCACATCCTGCTTATGACCCAAACCGGGGGGCACAGCTCAGGAGTGCCGCTGACCGTGCAAATCCGTACCGGGGTAGACTGGAACAAGCTGATCATGCACGAGGGCAAGAACGGGCTCGTAGTAGAAGTCCTCGCCGCCCCATTCAACCCTCTGGCATTTCTGTATCCCGGGAACTACCCAAAGCTCCATTTATGGGATTCAATCAATATCCTCGTGAGATGTATGTTCCACCCGGAATCAATGACCTGATGCCTCACAATCTGCCTAGCTCCTCCCCGACACAATCTCCAATCAACACGAAGCGTGGTCATGGCCGTGCTCCTACTATGGACCATCCATGGGACTCTGCTGGGGAGATTTACACCCTCAATGACGGGGACTTGTATGGATACCCACACGATCAACAGCAGCAAGTGCAGGGGGATGACCTGAGACCTCTAGGGAATCAGCCCAACAAGCAAGAAGAGGATACCAACGACAACGATGAGGAGCATTTGTGTGAATTTGCTGCCCCATGCCGAATGCATCCCTCGCCCGATGGAATGCACTATCGAAAGGTTGTGTCGCATGTGTTTGGCAGAAACAAGGCCGTTACCAAGCTATTCCCACTCGGCGTCTGGGTCCATTATTGCCGAAAGCACTACCAACGTGCCCGCTATCGTGCAGACCAATGGCCGTTCACGCAGTGTGATCTCCTGTTAGAATCTCTGAGCCGAATGGAGAACTGGGATGGAGTGGATAGTTTCGAACTCATCCTCCGCCGACGAGAGCAAATGCGTGTTGGGCGTGAGACCGAGGGCCAAGCTACCACCGAGACCCCCAATCCAAACGAATCTACTACTCCTGCGGGCAAGGCCCAGGACCAAGAGCACAAGATTTCGGGTGTCGTTACCCGGTCTCCGGGCCGTAAGCATCCAACTGCCATCATCGCCCCCGTCCCAGATTGGCTGCGCCAACATGTTGGTCACGGTAAGACATTCCAGGAGATCCGCCAGATTATCGAAATGGTGCGTGGCCACATGGTGAGGCTCCGAAATCTGGAAAGAGCGAAACAACAGCTCAGTCATATTCCCAATTCTCCAAGTGCGTCAGGAAGCTCTCGTCGAGGTGCACTTTCGAACGGCCGAAAGGGACGTATCGCCAAACCTGCCAACCGGGAACCCCTACGTCTACGTGCTAGCACTATTCGTTTCCCCGATGTTGAAATCCTCCCCCATTTCAAGCCATGGGTAAAGCAGGCTGCTCTACGCCAGCGATCTGCCACTACCTGTCCCGCCAACGAAGGGGATGACAACGACTATGAAGCACAGCAGAGACTTTCGGGGAGGGGACATATCATTGGAGAAATTCCGGATACTCATGGTACCAACGCTCAGGCCGAATCGAGTCAGCCGACAAATGGCAACGTCCAAACTAACAACACCACCCACTGTGACGGAAGTTCCGAGTACGTTTCTACAACAGAGATGAATGGAGTCAATCTCTCTCAGATTCAAGCTCACATCGGCAGGGCTGGGACCAACCGTGGTCAGTCTGAGAGCCAGCGGCGACGCAGTGAACGGGTCTACCTTAAGGCCATAGACCGTGTCCCTGGCCAGGGTTCTACCAAGAAGTCCGGCAAGGATGGTGAGCAATAGATTTACATTTACCCACCAATCTACTTTTTGATTACTTTGCCGTCAGCCTGGGGCTCGTTGATATCAGCCAATGATCACATCGAAAAAAGATTTGAAAAGGATTTGAAAAGGATTTGAAAACGAAATAAAAGAAAAAAAAATCTATTGACAGATTATGTCCTTGCCAGCATGTTCTAGTGGGAATCCAACCTCACCGGGATATTGAATGGACTCCCGACGTCGTTGATACGAAGCTCAAAGTACGCCTTGTGGTCAGTGAATACAATTTGTGAAAAGAAAATGAAAGAAAAAGAAAGCAATTAACCTGATTAAAAGGCACAATCGCCATCGACTCAATGGATTTCTCTCTTCCTCGACTCCACTCAGCAACGTCAGAGAAAACATATGGAAGATTAGTTGATGCCCGAAGAAGTGTTGCTTGCTGTACACAGCATGCCGTGCTTACTTGGATTGACATTGCTGGCCATGAGCTCAGATTTGGCAATCTCACTTGTTGTTCATGCTGGTCCAATGTGTGGTATCAGACCTTGTTCATTCCGGGTGATTTTGTGAAGGCTTGGATGGGGAGGAAAAAGAACAGTAAGAAAACCCCCCAACAAACCAAAAAAAACCAAAAAAAAAGCATAGCACTGTACTCAATACAATTAAATTCAATTCAACTGCCTCGTGAGAGGTGGTCAATAACTGGCTGTCTTAGTTCTAACTATCAGGTAGACCTCGGCTGTTTGAGGCTATTTCAACGACATTCTTGAATCGAGTATCTTAAATCTCATTTCTAGCTTCAGACTAACTACCTATTTATGAACTCAGCTAGGGGGTGAGTTAATTGAAATATTTGCATAGGAAAGGGGGGGGGGGGGAAGAAAATCAGAAACATACTCCGTACAATATGGAACCTGCAACAATACGACTCGCTTGCTGGAAAGACACCCAAATGCAGCAGAAACAAAAGGCTCATATGCGACCACCCAAGCAAGCAATATATAAAAAAAGATTAATGTAAGATAATTATAGTCGTTTTTGTATGAACAAAAGACAAATTCAGGTCTCAGATAAATAGACTGGTCTAGCTTGCCACAGCCAGCTGGGCGACGAGATCAGACGCCACATCAAGGAAGGGGTAAGCGCTGGTCACCTCCTTCTCTTTGTTCTTGAGGCGCTTGCTGATGGGATGCCATTCGGTATCGCCTTCGGCGCGGATGACGTTTTGGTAGCCATCGCATTTGAAGTCAACCATATAGTTGTTTTCTTCGAGTTGGTAAAGCTGGATGTCGAGGAAGACCCAGACACCGTAGGTGATGTGCGGGAGTCCGGTTGGTCCATTGACCGAAGAGGCCCCGCTCGCGAGACCGCTGTCAGGTACGGAGGACTGGGGTTCTCTGCTCCTGTCTTCTGTTGGGGCAGAGATACCCGAGATGTTGAAGCGGCGGCGCAGTTCTTCGAGGTCGCTGCGGCTATTGTAGACACTGGTGGATGCCCCAGGAGCCTTGATACCTTCTTTCAGCAGGCGTGCACGGATAAACCATGGGTCCTTGGGAATATAGTAGTCAGATGGGAGGTCGGGGTATTTGTTCTGCAAGGGCTTGGGCTTATCAGGGGAGGGGGTTGCATCGGGGCCGATATTAGTGCCTAAAGGATGTAAGAATGAGCTCGAAATGGGCAATCAACCGAAACATACCTGATTCCACGGGCTGGATATCCCACAATCCACCCTGGGCAGCAATTGCTCGGTACAGATACAGCATGGCCTCATATGGCTGGTTTCGGGATCGAATACCAAACTGCCACTTGCGGCTCCGCTTTGGCTGTTTTTCGAGGGGTTGGCCGGTTGGCGGCTCGAATCGCAACTTATCCAAGTCGACGACACTACGTGCGTGGGGCTTCAATGCACGGGCTGTGGCAGCCTGTTCTGCGGGAGACATGTCCCGGTAGGCAGATCCTTGTCCTTCTGGGTCACGCTGGGCGGCTTCCTGACGACGCTGCTCGAGTATTTGGTTGCGAGCTCTTTTATCTCGATCACGTTGCTCCATGAGTTGGTCATGAACATATGGCAAGCTAGTAGGGAGAATCCGGACGTGGCTAACGCGGGGTTCTTCCTCGGATTCTGATTGTTGTGGATCTTCCGAGACCCTCCGGCGCGATATACTAGGGGTTCTGTCCCTGGCGGGGGCAGGGGGCGCTTGATGACGAGGCGAAGGAGTCCGATCCGCAGATGAAGGCGCCGCTCCTTTCTGGACATTTTGCGCTAACAAATTATCTTCCGTGGGTGCTGCTATCGTTAGCAGAGCGGTAGGTTAATTAAGTAGTTTAGGTCTTACAATTGGTTTGCATCATCTCATTCTCAACGACGATGGAGAAGGCATCCTTGATCGCGCTGGGTTCCGGGTGCCTCAATGCTTCTTCGATATCCTCTCGGCCATATCCCATGCTTCGTTCGAGTTTGGAAACTGCAATTCGATGGATTTTGTGCTGGACTGGTGGAGGCTTCGCCATGTCAAGCTTTGCAGAATCAATCTTCTTCAAGTCCACCCCTGGGGCGATGAACTCCTCTCGTGGCGGCTCTAGGTACTGAGGCAGATTTTTGGTGAACCATGGGTCCTGTCTGATCTCAGGGATTGTAATGCGGTGGACGGGGTGAACTTGAAGCATTGCCCGGATCAAACGAGCTGCCCCGGATGAGATATATCCAGGTATGTGGAAGGTGCCCGCTGCAATCTTCTTGAAAAGGGCTGGAATATAGTCATCGTCGAAAGGCAATCGTCCCACCAACAGCACATATAGAATCACACCGCAACTCCACACATCGACCTCGGGGCCGGCGTAGAGCTTTCCAGAGATGACCTCTGGAGCAGCGTAGTTCGGGCTACCGCAGCTGGTCTTGAGGAAGTTTCCATCTGTCATAATATTACTCAAACCGAAATCTGCGATCTTCACATTCTTCTGGTTATCGATGAGCAGGTTCTCGGGCTTCAAGTCACGGTGTACAATCTTGTGTCGGTGGCAGTATTCGACAGCACAAATTATTTGCTGGAAGAATTTGCGGGCTTCGTCGTCAGCGCATCTTCCCTTCCTCACGAGATAATCGAACAACTCTCGCTCTGCGTACTCCAGCACCATCACAATATCGGTTTTGGTTGCAATCACTGTATACCTAAGAGAGAGAAAACGGTCAGTCAAATGAAACCCCAATTGCATTTTTGGATGGAAATTGTACAATTTGATGATGTGAGGGTGTCGTAGCAATTGCAAGTACTGGATTTCTCGCTCCACACGGCCAACCATGTCCCGGGAGAGTAGCTTGCGTCGTGGGATGATCTTCAGAGCAACTTGACGTCCACTTGGCTGGTGAATAGCAAGCTTTACCTTGCCAAAGGAACCCTCACCCAAGACCTTTACGGTCTGGTACTGGTCGAGGCGCTGCATGTCTCGGGTAGTCGACGGTGACTGCAATGATTCCTCGGCCTTGCCGGTCGGCCTGGAGGGTGGCATTGACATGGCGGAGGGGTTGGAGGCGGGAGGCCTAGCACGTTCACGCGGACGATCACGGTCGGAGGGGAGGGGGATAGCGAGGTCTTCCTCATCGAAAGCAGCAGCCATGGTCGGGGAAGAATGACAACGTGACGTGATTGATTTTCTAGACGGTTCAACGGTCCGACGGGGCTGCTGACTGTGCAGACGTGGAACTCGGGGGTTTTCTATTTTTTTCTCTCAAAACATCCAGGCGCCAATCAGTTGATCAGTCTCGACCCTCCCCACAACAGAACCGAGGGTGGAGCTTGGACAGCTGTTTGTCGGCGGGGGGATGGAGGGGTAATTTTGCTTGTCAGGGGTAGGGAAGAAACAGGAACTAAAGAGGTTCAGGATGTATCACGTTTAGTAATACTGGGAAGATTCATGAAATCCGATAAAGCTAAGTCCTGGAGATTTTCAATCTCTGGCGATGTCGGGAGTTCTAGACCTTACCTAAGCTGGTTTTTTGGGCTGGGGCGGACTGTGGACCTCACGATCACCGTGTGTACTATAATTGTACTTTGTTCCAATCAAAAACTTCTTATAATAGATAGTGTATATAAAACTCTGTATATCCCCTAGATATATTGTTTTTTTGAACTATTACAATTGATACTTCTACAATATAGACATTCACCTCATATCACCCAAGCTTTGTCGATCAACATGGCAGAATATCCAGATCCTTTTATACCAGCCCGATGCACCTTATCCCAGATCAAAGGTTGGTCTGTGTATATGACTAGCCTAGCTAAAGCTAACAAATAAAGCTTCTTTTTTTTTTCTTTTAGCCATTGGATTTTTTTAACGAATTTTTGCCGAAGCTCCGAGCAAGGTTTGTCATATACAGTGGGTCAAACCCTTAACCGTGGCTTAAAGTTAATTGATCGAGATTCATTATTTTTTCATTGCCCAAAGCTATAATGTATTTTGTTTTGTTTAGATCTCAAAGCCAACTACTCCGTACAATATATTGGGTTTGTAGAACGTGCCGGTTATATTGTCCAATTGTGATTTAGCGCAAATCCAGGCTATGCAACACAGCCTCTTTAAGCCTGAGCAATTCGAAAAACCACATGTTTCTACATTGAGCTTTTGGACATAATATGCAATATACATCATCCATCTGGCACAATGTTGTACAGGATTTTTATATAAAAATGCCAAGAGGACATGGAATTTTCCCTCAGGAAAAGAGACTTCAAAGGTACTTAGATTCACATATTAAATTGTACATCATGAGAAGTACCCGATGAGTATATGCTTTGAGTCATACTGCGGCTTAGAGTGACCGAGCGGGGTGTCGGGGTCCCAAAGTGGATTAGCGTCTAGTCGGGGACCCCGAAGAGGAATGGCCAACTGAGAGAGCCAGAGCATACATAGAATCAACAGCTGCCTCAGGTCTTGGGTTCTTCACCTTCCCCGGAAGCCATTTGTTTCTTCTTTACTTCCCTTTAACCTTGGCCTACTGCCTAACTTGGCACTAAACGGCCCCCTCTCTCTTTGACTTTTTTCATACAAAATAGATACCCCTAGTGATACCCCGTTTGATTTTCCAATGGCTTTTGTTGATCAGTTCTCTGAGATGGATGCGTCAATTTCCAATGAGTGGGTTGACTTTGATCAATTCCTCGATCTCCCTTCAGGCTACGACGACCAGTCGACTGCCACTACCGTCTCACCTCAGGACTTGGCTCTCCCTTACGAGGCAGATGGGATGTTCACTTCCCCATCTGATTTCATGCAATCCTCCTTCGACATGACCAACTATGATCTCTCACAAGAAGAGTTCATGGGCATCGATGGAGGTTTCATGCAGGACCCGGCTGCTCCTTTGTTCGATGATGCTGCGTTCCTGGGGTACAACCCATACGACAGCAGCAATACATTCCGAAACTTGGTTGAGGCACAGGCCGCCGCCGACCCGCGCGTTGCTACTATCAAGGAGAAGCGCCGCGAGGCAGCGATTGCGTTACACCTGCAGCGCCTTTGCGAAGCCACTGCTCTCGACTTAGATATGTCCTCCGACTCCAACACCAGCTTCTCATCCCCAAGCTGGTCAGAATACGTTCGCGGGAGCATCTCCCCGCGCTCTACACCAGATAACACATCTGTCGAGGCACCCCCTCCAGGAGGCATGGAGATGGTTCTCGACTTGAACATGAACACCGCAGCCAATGTGCCTAAGAAACAGAAGCCTCGATCGCAGGCACAAAAGGATAACTACATCAAGGCTCGGAAGTACGGTGTCTGTGAGAAGCACAAGAAACAGCACAAGCGAGTAAGTTTTCCATTCACATTGAACATTTGAGCACGCTAACGCTCGAGCAGTGTAACTGCCTGGAGAAGGCTGCTGCTCGTGTCGCTGCCAGCGACGTTCCGATGAACGCCGCACTCCAAGAACGGCCGAGGCAGCCGATGCTCCAAGTTCCGATCCTCCCAGAGTCGCGCTACTCAGACTCGCCCGGTCACGACCCATCATTCAACTCACCTCAAGCGCTTCCAACCATCAAGGCAACAAGGAAGACAACAAGTATCTCATCTGGTCTCGATCAATCTGTGGGGCTGCCGTCAATGGGACTGCCTGTCGCGGTACCACTCGCCAAGCAAATCATCAGAACAAAGACTCGAAAGAGTACACCACCGGGACACGATATTGTTCTATCATCTGGCAAGCCAGTTCTCAAGAGCACCTCGAGTCAAGACACCGTTCCACCGTCGAGCAGAAACATCGTGAAGGGCGGGGCTGCTGGACACGACATAGTCCTATCTGGCAAGACCATCGCAAACCACTCTGTCGCGGGACACGAGAGAGCGTTCACACAAGACAGGATCCCAAAGAACGCAGGAAGTGGACAATCCCCCGATCCATGCATTTCAAGTATGCCTCGGCCAGCTCAGGCAGCTGGGGTGTCATCTGGCAGCTCAAGCTTGCGCTGGCGCGTATCGACTTTGTCGGTCGGTCCTGCGTATTCAGAAAGGACCAACATCAAAACGACATCCTCGGTGGATCACCCAACTACCGGCGCTCGCCACACTCCAGGTCTTCGTGTAAACCAAACGAGTTCCACCCGCACTGTGGAAATCCCTGTGGTGCCAGGTGCTGTTGCTGGCAACGTTGGAATGCGCCATTCCATGCCCCTCGTGCACAACTCTGGAATCCAGGTCCCTGGACCGGATCGCGGGGGAGTTTCAGAAGGACTTGCCAAACAACTCGCAACACTCTCTGGCTTACAGTTGGTGCCAAAGGATCTATTGGTCTCGCCGATTCGGCGTGGATCGCCAGATCTCTTTGGAAACACATTGCCGCATACCTTCGAGGTTCGGCAACTGCTCATCAGCGGAGGTCTTATTGTTCGGCCCATTGCTGAAAGTGTCGGTGGCCTTCTTGCCAGTACTGCCTTGGCATTTGCCGATGCCTGGAAGTCATCACTGTCGCTGGCAGCTGGGGTTGAGGGCATTGTTCACAAAGCTCTCTCTCTGTTTGGTCGACACCTTATGTCTGCGAAGAAGGGCTTACATATGGGCGGACTGCGGAACGCTTCGTGCCTATGACTATGACGGGGCATAGCGCTCAGGATTGCGTGCATCTAATTGATGCCTGAATGCCTTTATTTGGCCTGAATTTAATACCGCCTTTTGAACCCCTCCGTACGGTGTATTGTAAATCTATTAGGCCTAATGAAACCATTAATGAAGCATTTCATTCCATACAAATCGATGGATCACGGGATTTGGAAGTGGCTTACATTGCCTTTTCTCCATGTAAATGAAGCATTTCATACCACACAAATCGACACATCATCTGACTTGGTCTAACTTCTAGATCCGAGCGTTGTGTCCCGTCGTACTATGACTGGCCCGCTGTTCTTGGACGAGCCCGATCGCGCTCGGCACTGATGGATCAAGTTTTGATAATTAATTGAGCTTGCTTTAACGACTTAATTGTAGAGGGTATACAGAGGTGACATCTACTGTCACACTCAATGTGGTCCCTGATGATGAAATTGAGAAGAATTCATTTGCATTCAATACCCACAAACCTTGTCTGTTTCGACTAATAATTTAGGAGACGTGAGTGTAAATATGTGGTTTCAACAGCAACAACTAATGCTGTGAAGATACGGTAAAAATCAAAGGTATGGATGGTACTTGGTAGATGGGGTAGAGCATTGATATAGAGCCTTTATAACCATTTGCCGGCTATGGTATAGAACTAGATATTTATTTTTAGCTAACTGTATAGAGTCAGTACCTATTTTCCATTGAAATCTCTAGCCATCCTTGTTTCCCCCCCTCTTTTCCTCTGTCTCTATGTGTACTGCTGTGGTTATAGGCCACGCTTCCGTCTTAAGACCTCCCAGTGAATGATATCTACACAATAAAAAGTTTTCCAATGTTGCAATCCCAACGATATACTATCGATGTTATTTCTATGGGAATCTCCGAGCCGAACGCTCTAGAAATTAGATAGTGAACATTTGATAAATTCAAGTTGCATCCTTGCTGTCCCCACCACCTCAGCCCTAAATATCCCTAATCACACGCCACTCCTTTTTCCGTGTCCTTTTACAGTTCATACCAACACTTGTACTTCGCTTCAACTTCAAACCATGAATATGGCCTCTCCGCCTTTGTTGCACTTCACTACAGTGACGGGATATTTCCTGCAGGATGACCCCACCACTGACCCCGACACCTTCGACTACGTAAGAGACCCCAATATCCTTGCCAAAGCCATCAAGTCACCGTCTGATGATCTGGAAAGGTGAAATCAAACTTCGGTCTCATCGAAAAACACTACGATGAGCATCACGGAGTGGAACAGACTGACAGCCAGTGGCGGCGTTTTGATGCCCACATTCAACGCCAGAACAACAGCGAGACTAAAAAGCTCAAAGTTCTCTTTCTCGGACGCCACGGCGAGGGCGTCCACAACGTTGCCGAGCGCAAATACGGCACCAAGAAGTGGGATGTAGGTGATTAGGCATTTCCTCTATGAACCAGACATTAACCAGACCTCTAGGATTACTGGTCTCTTCAAGACGGAGACGAGGACGGCAACTGGGTCGATGCTCGTCTTACTGAGCAGGGCAGATGCCAGGCGCAAGTCGCACATGCAGCTTGGGAGCAACAGATCGAGGCTGGCATCCCATCACCCGAGTCCTACTATGTGAGCCCCCTGAACCGGTGCCTTGAAACGGCGCAAATTACGTTTCAGGGACTTGCTATCCCCACCACAGATCCTTTTAAGCCGGTTATCAAAGAGGTGCGTTGTTTTCTACTACAGAACTTGCAGTATCTAATCCGACTAGCTCCTCCGTGAGACAATGGGTCAACACACCTGTGACCGTCGCTCAACGGCTTCAGAAATCGCAGAAGAGTACCCGGAGTACCAGTTTGAGGCAGGGTTCTCCGAGGAAGACAAGCTGTGGGATCCTAAGGTCCGCGAGTCAAACGAGCATCGCAACGATCGGCTTCGCTGTCTTTTGAACGATATATTTACCCGCGATGATAGTACATACATTTCGTTAACAGCTCACTCAGGTGCCATAACTAGCATTCTGGAAGTTGTGGGCCATCGCCGCTTTGCCTTGGCGACTGGTGCGGTGATTCCTGTGCTCGTTGCCGTGGAAAAGGGGTCTCCGTCGCAGTAAGAATCGCATTCATTGTAAATCTTGGGTGATTCGGAAATCAATTTTGAGAATCGTAGCAGATTTATACCTGACATGGCTGCTGGGTTTTGTAAATATTAAGAGGAGAGCAACCGGTCTCAGTAGTTTGATATCCAAGAAATTTATTCAGTATTGTACATGAGTCGCTCTTACTCAAGAAAGATGAGCGACTTCTCACAAATGCAATTGTCGCCTCCAATCGGCTAAAGAAAAACCACTGTCCACGCGAAAGATCTAGATATAAATAATACACACGCCAAAACATCGATCACCAGCTGTAGTATTGGTTCTGCGCGGAGACCTTGCGATCCGGCAGTTGTGTCCAGAGCTGAGACCTCCGTTCCCGCTGGGCCTTGGCCTCACGGTCCTCCCACTCGCGGATACGAGTCTTCTCTTCCTTCAACAGGACTGAGATACTTGTGGTAGGGGGACGCAAGCGGTTGATCTGACCACGGGCACGGTGATCCATCTCATATCCGTAGGGACCACGGTTGACCCAGGCCTCTTGAATGTAGATGTCAGAGGGGTTGGCAATCTTCTGGCGCTCGCCACTCTTAAGTATGACAGTAATGGGTTTCGGTGATTCGGACTTGGGGGCATCAAGACCAAGGCCCATGCCGGCACGGACCACGGCGACGTTCTTTGCGTGTTCCAGATGTTCCAGCACGTCCTTAGCGGCCTTTTTGTTGCTGAAGCGCATCTGGAGGATGGCTTCGTCGATATTCTTGCCGGCGATTTGGCGGGCCAGAGGACCCAGCTTCTTCAGCGAGGTCTTGATCCAGTGAGATTTGGAAAGTGATTCGCGCTCTGTGCGCTTGATTTGCACCTTTGTCGGTACACGGCCTCGTTTCCGGATCTCGCGGACAGCCATCTTCCTCTCCCACCGCAGCTGGGCCTTCGGGTCGGGACCCAATCCCACTTGCAGGCGACTCAAGTCGCGCTCTTCCAGCTTTCCGGAAGTGGCTTCTTTTTCCTTCGTTGGCCGGGATGGCATGGGGCCCGATGTTGGTGCGGTGAAATCTGATCCGAAGATGGAGCTTGCTGAACTACCTTCTTCCTTTTGAGGTGCCGAGGGTCGGTGGGCGACTTTGGCGGATCCTCCTGCAAACACGTTCTTTAAGGAAGAGAGCCAGCCGGTCGGCTTTTTGCTTTCGCCATCCTTCAAAGCGTAACGGAAGGCTGTCGAGGTCAATGTTCGGCGAGGGATGAAGGAGACGGTCCGGGCTGCTGAACGTGAGAAATAAGTCAGTATGGAGGCCAAGCATAATATATATGAATATAACATACCTGTCCGGACCAATTGCCCTGAGGGATAGACCATTGTGGCTGTTGGGATGTTGTTGTCAGAAGTTCACGTCGGGAAAAAAGGTGAAAGTTCCCTGCACTTGTGGTCTGTGCGGTATACCGGAGCCTGAGGCACCTTGAAGTTGATCGATCAGAATAGCCTCAAAGAGAGATGCGAGTTGCGACTGCACGAGTCTATAGAGCAAGAACAGGCTTGTTTACACATGGAGATGATCTCGTATCTTTGATCGTATTTGAACTTCATTCTGGCGACTTTATTGTTTCTTCTTCCCAACCATCTCCACAGTATCCACTAGCCCTCATCTTTCCCTCTTTCGGTTCTTCTCTCTCTTTTTCGTCTTCCTTCATCCCTCCCTTCCCTTACCAGGCCATCAGCCTGTCGTTTCCATCCTTCTCGAATACCTGAGATCTCAGAGATTTCAGTTTGCCCTCTCGATTTAAGGGCTCTCGTTCCTTTCAGGCATTCCTTTGAATTCTTAGCAACCCGCCAGAAACAGCTGCGCAACTGTAAATCTACGTCATTTGCAGGAGATAACGAGGGGGGATCTGGATACGACCGGCAGATGCAGGAATGGACGTGTTGAGGTACTTCAAGACTGTCGTATGATCTGGATCTCCGCTTGAAAGGCACCTGGGCATCTATTACGACAACTCCCGGTATCCAATCGCTCTTCCCAAAGCTGTATTCAAATATGGACATCAGTTCGCTTCTTTCGCCGGACTCGAATCCAAAGTCTGGAAATTCGACGCCCGTGCCTGGTCCTACGTCGAACAACGCACCGGCCACCTCTGCAGGGCCATCCCCCCACAAAGCTATCGAGAGAACTCGGACAGGCTCCAGGCGAAAGGGCAAGATTTCTTCGCCTCTCGCACAGCAGGTGTACGCTCCTACTGGAGAATCTTCGCCAGCGCCTAGCGGAGGAAATGGGGCTTCTCCGACTGAAGTGCCCTCAAGACAACCATCCACGCCGGGAATGGACACTTTGGCGGATCTCGCCTCGATGCAGCACCACCAGCCACAACGCCCAACACCGACAAGCATGCTTCGTAGTACTGAATCCTACGAGCACCAGTTATCCCCATCTACTATTCACCCACATGTCAATTCTATCGCCCACAACACCCCTACCTCTCGGATTTCCTTCGAGATCGCCATGTCGGAGGGACGCGACGGGCCCGCGAAGAGGACCTACGCCGCGACTTCGCTCGACCCCGATGCGCAACGGATGGCGACCGAACTTTTTCATCAAATCTCGCTCAACCCCCACACGCATGACGCGCACGTGCAATTTATCGGATTGCTGCATGCAGGATTTGTCAACCACGTTTACCCACCGAATAACCCAGATGTCCACGGCGACCCGCGACGCTATGATCTACTCAACGATTTGAAAACGGCACGTGAAGAAATGGACAAGCTTTTCGCCATGGGAGAAGATCTTTGGGCCGAATGGATTCAGGATGAGAGTATGTTAGCTCAAGATGTCGAAGGGCGCATTGATGTTCTAGAACTCTGCAAGCGATCCGTCGAAGAGGAATTTGGCAGCACAAAACTGTGGAATATCTATGGCGAAT